CTTTATACAACATCGTTGAAGATATATGCCCATTTTGTATATATATATATATATATATATATATATACATACATATACATCGTTTGTTCACATTCAAAGTCGGCTGGATTGTTTTAATTTCCTGGTTAATTTTGTAAAATTCGTAGATTTTAATTTGTTTTTACATATGATTTTTGGAGTCATCGGCTGTAATTTTGTCCCGGGTTTGTTTTTCCGTCATTTTTTATCGTTTTTCTGCCCTGCCTCGGCCAATTTTCTCGTTTTTTGTTTTTTTTATCAATATTATAATTTATTTACAGCTCATAGCTGCTACAGGTCACCGGCCTGCGCCAGGTGTGAGCTGTTTTATTATTATCGGAAAGTTCACTACATTTTAACTCACTACCGACATTTATTTTTAATTTATTTTTGAAATTAAAATTTAAAATTAAAATTTATTTATAAAAAAGAAATTTCCTAAACCAATTTTAAAATCTGTGTAAAAAAAATAAACTATAAGGGGAGAGATTGGGCCAAAGTTTGTTGCAATAGTTGTCTCCTCCCACACTGTTGCCTAGGTTTTTGTATTCACTCATTCACTCATTTGTTCATTCACTCATTCATTCATCAATAAAAAAAAGAAAAGAAAAAAATAAATAAAAGTTGAAAAAGTTATATATATTTTCCACTGGTTAAATATTTAAAGATAATTCAGTCATTCATCCGTTCGCTCGTTCATTCATTCCGTCACTCATTCATGTATTCGTTCATTCATCCATTCGTTCGGTTGTTTATTTATTCATTTATTTATTCACTCATTCATTCTTTTTTTCCCTCACTCGTCCGTTCAGTAATTAACTCATTCATTCCCCCATCATTCACTCATTCATTCGTTTGTTCGCTGGCCCGTTCATTTGGTCATTCGCTTGTTCATCCATCCATTCATCCATCCCACTTGGTTTGTTTCCTTTCCTTCGTTTCTTGGTTGTTTTTAATCACATATGGCTCCAACGTTACAACAGTGCCCCGTCTGCTTTAACCACTATAGAAGCACTCCAGACGGGAAGTTATGTAGGCACAGAGGTAAAGTGAAAGGACAGGAATGCTCGGGGTCCCGGAAAAAAGTTGATCCATCGGGCGCGGGGGCTGCACCCGACCCCAAGCCTAGGTTGCCCACACGGCCGACGGTCGCATCGGTCTCCAGTGATTCTCTCGTCCTGGATTACTCTGGTGTTTTTGACAAGCTGACGGCCGTGCTGAAATGTGTACCGGTGTACGACCATATCCCTAAGCCATGCAGGGAGAAGTTCACACATGATCTGAACGCCTTGCTGACGGCTGTTTGTAATGACCCTGGTGACCCGGCTCACTGGGTTAGACTCCATTGTTTTGTCCCATACGTCTTACAGAAGACTACCAGAGGGGGTCGCCGGGTCAACCAGGGCAATCTGGTCAACAAGCGTCTAAGCGAATATTCAACTATTGGTCTTGAAACCCTGGTACTGTGCTTTGATGGGTTCAATAATGCCAAATCACAAAAGCACAACCCCGATCGGTGGATCAACGCTGTGTCATCTTGTATTGAACAGGAAAACCTGTCCTCGGCTGTCAGATTTGTCTGTTCGCCGGAGGGCCTGGCGGAGAGCTCACCAGCCACTTTCGATAAATTATGTTCCATCCACCCAAAAATTTCGGTGGACAGGCGGGTCTTTCCCGCATTGACACCAACGGCTGGTGGCGTTTCTCCCGCCGAGGTGCTGAGGGCCGTTAAATCGTTTAAAAACGGTTCTTCTGGAGGCCTGGATGGCCTACACCCCAGCACCTTAAGGATGTTTTTTTCAGGCCTCTTGCCAATCGACGACACACTGAACTCCTTAACCCAATTCATTAATTTGATCCTATCTGGAGCTTGCCCACTCTCCGTCCGCCGGTTCTTTTTTGGAGGCCGGCTAATAGCTTTAAATAAGAAAGACGGAGGGGTCAGACCGATTGCGGGATTAAGGGTGGCGCTGAGGCCGCTGTTCATGCGGTTTGAAGATTGGTCACCGACCTTCCCGATCAATGGGGGTTTCTGAAACTGGACTTTAAAAATGCCTTCATTGCCTTGAAAAGAGACTCAATGTTGGAGGCTGTCAAACTTTTTTGCCCCAATATCTATAATTTTTGCCATTCTGCCTATGGCGGAGTCTCTTCCCTTGGCTACCACTCTTGGGTTGTAGAATCGTCCGAGGGGGTACAGCAGGGTGGTCTCTTTGGTCCTTTGCTGTTCACACTAACTCTTCATCCACTCTTAGAGAAAGCTTCGTCCACTTTCGTTTGCGCTTATCTGGATGATATCAGCATTGCTTCGGACGGCCCAACTCTGGCCGATAGCTACGAATATTTGAAGCATAACTCCGCTGCAATTGGTTTAGAGTTAAACATTAAAAAATGCGAACTTCACTGCCAGTGTATTTTTTGGCTGGAATACCCAGAGTTGGTGCATCAGAACTGAGTTTTTTAGGCACACCCTTGGTTGAGGGCGATTATCAAATAAAGTTTTTTGACCAAAAGCTCTCTGAGCTTAAATTCGCCCTGGGTCGTGTTTCCTGTCTTTCGGCCCATGATGCCTTGACTATTATCCGCAATGCCCTCAGTTTGCCCAAATTGATGTACTTCCTGCGTACATCCAAACACATTGACCCTTCTAAATTGGGCGAATTTGACAAAGCCCTGCGCACCGCCCTGTCGTCGATTTGCAATGTTCAAGTGACCGACAGTGGTTGGTCCCAAGCTCAGCTGCCGGTGCGATTTGGTGGGCTGGAGTTGCTTAGTGTGGTTCAGCTGGCTCCCGTTGTTTATAATTCTTCTGCCGCTGCCACTCTTGACCTGCAGTCTTCCCTGCTCCACCGGTTTTTTCGTTGCCGCAATATTCTTCCCCCAGTGTCCGCCCCGGGGGACTGTACGCACGTCCAAATTTTGAACGAAGAATATAAAAAAATCTTTCAAAATTTGTTGTCTTCATGCGGCGACGACTTTTCCACCGCTCGTTTGTTGGCCATGTCCAGCGTTGCCAGCTGTGGGTGGTTGAGATCATGGCCCAACACCTCTGTGGGCACCAGGCTTGACGACGGGTCTGTGAGATTTGCCATTGGCTTCAGACTTGGCCTGGTCATTCAGAATAAATACACGTGCCGATGTGGCGCTGGGGCGGACGAGTTTGGGCACCACGGTTTGGTTTGTCGCCTGGGTGGGAGCCGTTAACTACGTCACTCAGCGCTAAACGAATACATTTGTCGGCTCTTCTCCAAGGCTTCAATCCCGGTTCTCAAGGAACCATCGGCATTTCTGCGCATGATGGCACACTAATACCTTGGAGAGCCGGCAGATGTTTGGCGTGGGATGTTACGGTCCCTGGCACCCTCGCCGAACGATATGTAAACCTGACAAGTAAAGAATGCGGTTTGGCCGCGTCCAGGACAGCGGACGAGAAAATGAAAAAATATGGGAACGCCCTCCCCTCGATGGAATTCCTGCCAATATGTATCGAGTTTCTCGGCCCGATGGACCCCAACACCCTTAAATTTCTTAAGGCAATATGTAAAATGATCAGCGTCAGATCAGGCGACAGCAGGGAACTGTTTTTCGCAACTAACCACATTTCGTGCTTGTTGCAGCGGTTCCTGCGTGTCTGTGTGCTTGAAAATATCCAACTGAATGCCGACATGTGCAATTAACGACAAATCAAAGTGTTAATCCATTTGTTACTTGATGTTTGACGGTTCAGTGTCACTCATCATGTTTTGGTTTTAACATATACTTAAACAGTAGTTGTATATCTGATAGTCTTAATCCTAAATACACACACGCATATATATATATATATATATATATATATATAAATAATTATATATGTATCTATTTATATTTATTTATGTGTATATATTTAACAATTCATTTATAAAGTTGAAACGAATGTACAAGTAAACAAATGTTTATTATGCAAAATTTTATTCTAGTATTAATAACACAGTTTAATTTAAAAGATAATAAAGGTTATCTCTCGGTCGGATCAAAAAATTCCGACTCAAACCAACTCCAGGTAAAAAATTCCGACTCTGACTCTGGACTCCGTGTTTCGAGTCCAAGAAATGTTTTCCAACGTTTGCCTCATAGTTTTACTTAAATATCTCTTCTAAATAAAAATATTGAAAGAAAATTAAGTGTTTTTACTCCCGTTACTAGCATTTATTTTCAGTGTTAAAGATGATTGCATATCGACACACACACATCACACACGCGCACGCGCGTGCGCGCACACACACACACACATACACATAGTTATCATCTAAAAAACTCAATCTTATAAAATATTTTTAGGATAAAAATTAAAAAATAAATAAAAATTCTAATTGTTAATAACATTTTCCGGAGTTGGTTGAAAAATGTCAGACTCCGACTCCGGCCACTCAAAGAATTTCGACACCGATCTCCAAAAATCTGCGACTCCGTCAGACTCCGACGCTGTACAAATACGTTGTACGAATGTTGAATATACACACGGATGCGTTTGAAATTGAATGTAGGTGGCATACAAATTAGAACTCAGCGATGTGTCATGTGATTCGAAATTTACGGTGAACAAAATAATGAGACTAATATTCTTTTTATGGCAAATTTCCACTCTCATCATCATTACTATCACCACCAACAACAACAACAAACTGTCATTTTCATCATTATTACGTCACCATCATCATCATCACTACCATCATCATCATCATCACTACCATCATCATCTCTATCATCACTATCATCATCATCATCATCCCTTCTCATCACTATCATCGTCATCGTTACCACCATCGTCGTCATCGTCATCATCATCATCGTCATCATCATCATCATCATCACCACAATCGTCCGCAGTCCGCCAGCCAGCCAGCAGAACATTCGTTTAATTGATGGAGGTGCAATAATATTTTGAACAAACAAAATGCGTTCATAAAATAATTAAAGAAACATCGAAAGACGCGACATCTTGTGTACATTTTATACCCATGTAATGATCGTTATACTTATTGTTTATACGAATACCTCTGGCTTTTGTACACACACAAATACCTGAACCTACAGTATTAATCTAATACCTCTACATGTTCGCTACACTCGTCTATGCATCATAACTTACTGTGTACCCTTAAAGCGTATACATTTCCCATTCATTTTAATACCAGAACTTGTTCTCTGATTATATAATTGTTTTTGCATTTTGCATACATACTGATGTTACACACACATACACACATATACACAAACAAATAGACAGACACATATACATGACCTAGTCTTTTCATTTGTCAAATCATTTCATTTTGGGAAGAGAAGATTTTCTTATCAGCTGCTCAAATTCGGTATAAAAAAAATGTCAACATCATCAATCAAAGTGACTTTAAAAAATGTCTGAAAAATGATCTGCTCAAAAAGCCAATGCTGGGTCTCTGGGTCAATTCATGGGAAGGACTGTACAAATCTAGCAATACAATTTATACAACCACACACTCACACAAGTATACACACCACACACACACCAATAGACAGTTCCACCGTTCAAACTTTGGTCGAAGCGTTTATGCATTCAAAGATAGAAAGACTCCTTCATAATGGCAGGCCAGAAAAGTTCATCGTGTGATTGCAGTCAATCGAAACATCATGGCCTCCTGCCTGGCTCCAAATTGTTATTCAACCGATTCAATTGTTTAAAAATTATTCTCACCATTTTGCTGCGATCAGATGAATGATTTCGATCTCTTGTTCATTTCTCAGAATAAATGATGGCCGGCTAAAATGTTTTGTCATAACTGGATTTACAATCATAAACAATTTAAAATTGTTTCCCGCATAGTTTAAAGACACGCAGGTTGTCAACCTTTGGATCTTCAGGGAGGTTGTACGCCCACACTAACAAGCATGTGGCTGCCCGCGCTTTGAACCAGTCGACGTCATACTTTCTGGATTTTTAGCGGCTTTGAAAATGTCGAAATAACGATGATAACAAAACAACATAGTAAACACAGGTCTCATTTTAATGAAGGCAATTGAGACGCATTATGTGTTCACTTAAACAATTGAATATTTATGTACATTTTTATAGCCGTGTTGTGTGTACATATATTAGTAGTTAGTGATACATTTTTATAGCCGTGTGCGTACATATAAGAGTAGTTAGTGATTGACTAGGATGATTTTTTATTTTTTTTGCAAACTTGTTTTTTGCAGCACGAACAAATAAACTTTTGCCCATGAATTAATTATCATCATCCTTTCTTAGGTTTTCCTCAGAGGTTATTGTTAATGTTATTTTTTGAAATTATTGATAAATGTTTTGCTGAATTATGAAAGCAACTGGTCTTTAAATGAGTCACTCCACCAAAGTGCAACAATTGATAGATGAGTGTTAGTATAAGGTGAACCATTCAGCAGCAAAACGTTCAGAATGTTTGGAAATACCTGCATCAGTGTTGGAAAATTACATTAGGCTGTGGGCCAAATGGTGAAATAATCAGAGATACCTGCCAAACAAATTTTAACCTTTTTTGATAGAAATAAACAGTAATGATATTTTACAAGACGTTTCTAATTTGGAAAACTCACTTTTCCAGGTTGGCGTAAATAATTGGTGAGGCAGAGCCAGCCAATTAACACAGTTACGACAATTACATTACAAACCAATTTTATCAGGACAGGGCAGATTGCTGCGACTTTCATCAATAATCATTTTATTTTTTTAATTTTGCCGATGAGAGCTGCAAAATTAAAGAAAGAAAAATTAAATAATGAACCAGTGTTAGCGAAAGTTTTCAATCAAACATTGCATTAGTTCGTGGTGGTTATGATTTTTATTACTTATTTATGAAAATTTATCTGTGAAAATCTTTATTTCGTTCCTTTTAAAATTTTTATTTATAAATTTTCGAAAAATGCCCCAAATATCAACGAACGTAAGTGTTTATGAGCAGCTTAAATGTGAAGCCATTGGATAAAATTTCTCAAAAACGTTATTTGGTATTTTACCTTTGGTAAGCGGATATGAAATAGAAAACTAGCAAACCAGTCACAACAAAATATGTAACTAACAGAAAAAATAGAAATATGTGGTATCACAAAAAATTGAAAACAAACAAACATTGAAATAAATCAACTAGAAATTATTTTTAAAAAGAATAAATGTTTCGAAATTTCTTTTTAAAAAATTGTTCAGCCCACAGGAAGACAACCAAAACAACAACATTATCTTCGATCATCCATGTTCAAATATTTGAAGAAAAAAAAATTCTGTCAGGTATGGTGTTTTTCCATCAAAATTTCTATTTGAAAATTTTTCTAGACGGCCACAATTTAATTGGCATAAAAAATGTATTCCTTCATTCGACTGGATGAGGCTAGAAGGCCACAGATTGGTCGAATATAAAAATTTTCACGTGTTGAATAAATTTTCAATTTTAACAACCATTAATAAGAAACCAGTACTACGTGTTAATTTGCTCATAAGTAGGAACGGTGGACATAATTTTTTTTTGACTTCCATTTTATTAACTCAGAGACATTCAAGAAGGGGGGAAAGGTGCTTGTCCTCTCCATCAAGATAGGGAGGGGGAGGGTTAGACTGGTTGAAACTATTTTGTGGCGATTAATAAAGTAAAACAATCTGCCACCAATAACATTAACGTGTTTACCCTCTTATTTAATTATATATTAGGAAATTCAAAATCAACTAAAAAAATTCACCCAAAGGAAAATTTTTGCCCCAAACAATTCGAGGGAGGGGGCTTTCGCGACCGCGCATCCACTTATTATAATTAATTTTTGTTTGGTGAATGTGAAAGAATAAAAAAATTACCCAAACGGCCCTAAGAGGCAAACTTCAGAACTCGCAGTTGCAGCACAGATGAGACGAGACGTGAGGCGATTGTTTTCATGGCGTTATGTCGTATTTGACTCCTTTCAACAGGTGTCGGCACAAACGTAGAAGTCTCGTGTTCGATCGCGAGATAAATAGATGCGGTGACACCGTAAAGAAGGCTGGTGATGATGGTGGTGGATGTGTGCGGCGTGATAGTGTAATGGTTAACGTGCCTGTCATTGTTCGTGCAGTGTCCGGGTTCAAATGTAAAGAGATCCCCGCCTGTGTCACATACAAGAGTGTGTGATGCGTTGATTCACGCGCATTTACATACAGTGTGTGTTTGTTGTTGATACCTCTGGAGAATATCTAAGTGGAAATAATGATAATAATAATAATCAAAATAACAAAAATCAAAATTAATTTATTCATTAAATCAAATTGAACAGAATCGGATCATGCAAGAAATGAAACAACCTGGAGACAAAAAAGATATATTAATTTCTTGTACGGGCCATCGGTTTACAAATCTAAATTTATTTAGGAAAATAAATATGAGTCAAGTTTGAAGTCTTGATTGATTTTCAACTCTGAGTTGGTTATTATGCTAACAAATTAAAATTGTAAACCGAGTTTTTATTAAATACATAATTTTTAAGTTTTTTCTTAAATACGTAAATTAGATTGACAGTCTTACTTTCTGGAGGCAAATTTTTCCATATTTTCGATCCCGGTGAAGTTTAGACTGGTTTGTATTAGTTTTATTTTTGCTAGGATTATGTACAAAACTGGAGTGTGTCTCAGGTTTTTTGAGTGAATTCAGGTGCTGTGAGCATTTGGTAACATGTGATTTAGAAACTTGTACACGAAGATTGCAACCATGCACACATGAATGTTTTTGATGTCAAGTAAATTTATGTCGTAGTTGTAGTGGCTGACGTGACAACTTAAGAGGAGATTTAGAGGTATGCGTACAAATCGATTTTGACAGCTGTTTATTATTATTATTATTATTATTATTACGTTAAACAAAGGCGAAGACGAAACGTCTCTGTGCCTTCTCAAAACTAAGACAATTTTAAAACAATAAATTAAATAAACCTATGAATCTATACTGAATAAAATAACTAATGTTCTTATAAGTCAAATAATGTATTAAACCTTGTAAAAAAAAACCTTGACAGCTGTTTAAGATAAGTTTCTGGGCTATTTCCCCCAGGATGTTGCAATATGTTGAATGGAGAAACACGAGTGCATAGAGTTAGAAGTATGCGTATTATCAAATGTCGTAGTTGATTTTTAATTTAATTTTATAGAATACACCTAGAGATTTGTTGAGTTTTTGAGCTATGAAATTGACGTGTGGTTCCCAAGAGAGGTTGTCTTTGATCTGTACGCCTAAAAATTTAGTAGATTTGGAACGCGGTGTTGAATGTCCGTTGATGCTAATGTTGAGGTCCGGTGCTAAATTCGTTATTATTGTTGGCCCAAGCAGAATGTAACAACATTTATTATAATTAATTATTAACTTGTTAAAAGCAAACCAATCAGAAATTGTTTCTTGTTTTATTTATTGTCTGTACATCTTACGTTGGTTTCTTAGTGGAAAAGAGTATGATGGTGTCGTCTGCAGACACAATAATAAAAATAATAGTAATAATAATTATAATTATAATAATAAATATAATTATATTATTAATAATATGTAATAAGCAATTTTATGATATATGATAGCAATAAATGATATCTCAATGTTTATTCGTTAGTAGCTCACTTTAAAGTAGTTTCTCACTTCAACAATTTAATTTAAATAAAATTGATACCTTTAATTTATCACATTACAAGTTTTTGTGTTCCGCGCTAAATCCTTCTTGCAGGAGCTTCAAATCCGGTTACTCGGATTAATTTTGCCCTTTACCTTTAGTCTAATAGATACCCAGTTTTGTTCTGACTGTTTCTGCATTCCATATTATCGCATGGTCATTGAGATTTATCATCCTCCTGCTATTTTTTAGATCTACACAATAATTATTCAGCTGACCGGCTAGAAAGGCATGATGTTTGGCTTTCGTCTCGTTCACTTTGTTTCATTCTTCTTGAAGATACAATGTGCAATTTCTTTGTACCTTAAACTTTTATCGCAGTGTCAGCCATGTTATTTTTCATTGTGCTGTTTTTTTGTTTTAAAAAGTTAAACAGATTTTGTATTTTTTTTTATTTTGTGGTCAATAGTTTTGAATTAACGAGAAAAAAAATAAATTAGGATGATTAAAGAAGTTTGAATTAATACACTGTACACAACACATCAATGTACAACAACAATACACGCAACATACATCAACATACAACAACAATAAATGCAACATACATCAGCATACAACAGCAATACATCACAATAACACAACAATAGCAACATAAGCAACGGAAACATACATCACTGTTCCCCACAACATTTCAAGATGTACACACGCAACAACACTTATGTACAACAACATTTTCGATTTCGAACTACACAGAAAACAGCATCATCATCATCAACAACAACAACATCGAAACAACACCTACATCGAAGCACATGTTTGCATTGTTCACAATTTTGTTCATACTGAACAACAAATGGTTCGTTCGAATTTTCGGCAAACCGCCTTTCAACTGACCACTCAGGCCACTACGACGACCACCACCAAAGTTATTTTCCTGGTGCAATTTGTTTCTCTGGTGTAATTTCAAGTTGTTCGGCAAGTTGTTTTGAAATATGACGTAGGGAAAGTTGAACTTGGGATATAAGGTGATTGTTGTGGATGGTGATGGTGGTGATGGTGAGGAGGATGATGAGGAGAATGATGTTGATGATGGTTGTTTGTTGTGGTGCAGAGATTGAAGGAAATGCAATAAAACGTTCAGGTTTCGTTCGTTACAATGCACTCCATCAATCATCGCAATCCGATAAACCTGGTGATGATGAGGAAGAGGATCCTGATGGTGGTGGTGGTTATGCGTTTTTTCACTTTTAATTTTTGGCACCAACATGCAGACTATAAGATGATGAGAAGGACGACGATGATGATGTTCTTCAAGTTTTCCAAGATATCTTAGTTTCTGCTGAAAAAGATAGTAGTGAAGTTCATGGAGATGACGACGATGATGATTGTGGAAATGATGGTGAAATGAGTCTGTTTCATCATCATCAACGACGCGCGTCCATAGTGGTCGGACGATGTGAAGCTGGTAAACTGGCTTCAAAGACGATGACGATGAAGACGAGTATGAGGAAGGCGAAGATGACGAAGATGAAGATGAAAGTGATGATGGCGATAAAGACGACGACGAGGATGAAAAAGTAGAAGATGATGATAAATTATGATAATGATAATCTTGTGAGAGTAGGCACGTAAATAATATATTGATGTGAATGCTTCTTCCTGCTGTTGAGTTGTGCGGTTTAATAAAGTTGAAACAACTGTTGTTGTTGTTGTTGTTGTCGTTATTGTTGTTGTTGTTGTTGCCGTTGTTGTTGTTGTCAAAAAATTGAAATAGTATTGTTGTTTTGTCGTCGTTCAAGTTTGAAATGTTCAATAAAGCACATTCGGTGTTGTCATTGATGTTGTTGTATTTTATAAAATTAATGTCGTTGAGGTTGTTAAACTTGTTGTAGTGTTTGTAGTTGCTCCTCATGTTGTTATTAATGTTGTCACCAGTTTTACCGCTATTGGAGTTGTTGTGATTGTTGATGTTGTTGTATTTGAAGTTTTTCAATGGGTTGGGATCATCATCGCCATTCTCATTCGCCTCGATACTGTTGGATTTTGTGGAGTTCTTCCATTTTGAAGAGTGTTTAAAAGTGGAAGTGGAAAAATGTTGACGAGTTCGCGAAATTTTTTTAACAAATGCGAAAGTGAACATGTTTAAATTTGATGGGAAGTGACAGTCACACGACGACGATGAAGAAGATGACGAAGAAGAAGTAGACAAAGATGATAATGATGATGACGTTGAAACTGATGATGATAATGGTGATGAGGGCGATGATAATGATGACGACGATGCGTCAGATTGCCATGAAATCAAAGGGAATGATGCTAATGATGATGACGATAATGATGATGAAGGACTTGATGGTAATGATGACGATGACGATGATGATGGTGACGATGACGATAATGAAGATGATGATGGTGACGTCGATGAGTTCATTTGATATCTATAAAAATATCTGAAAAAACTAGTTGAAAAGATTCTGGGATCATCGCCATCATTGTCATCATCATCATCATCATTGTCATCATTAACTTCTGAATAAACGAACAAGCTACAGTTTATATTGTTTAAGTCTGGGTTGTAGATATTAAACATCTCATCATCATCATTTCCACCAACATCATTATCATTATCACCACTTTCATCATCCTCATCATCATCATCATCGCCATTGATATTTTTCTTTGTGTAATGGTTTCTCTTTCTAACGATGGGCCATGATTGCAATTTTGCAAATTTGATGGCTATGATGTTGTTGTTTTTGTTGTCGTTGATGTTGTTTTTATATTTGTTGTTTTTAAAATGTTGTTTTTGTATTTTAATGTCGTGATGACTATTTTTGTTGATGTCGTCTTTGTTGGAGGTCTCGTCGGAGTTGGTAATTTTTTTAATGTTATTATTTTTAACCTTGTTTGAATATTTGTTGTTGTTAGTGATGAAGTTGTTGAAATAGTTACTGTTGATGTTGTTGTTGTTGAAATAGTTTTTGTTGTTGTTGATGTTTTTATTGTTGTTGTTAGCGATGCGAACCTGCATGCACGTGTATTGTTGCTGGCACCCCTCCCCCGTTTCCAACAACAACATCACTTCGTCTGTTTCTTTCCCGCCATTATAAACAGCATCATCACCATCATCATCTTCTTCATCATAATCAGTACTATCATCATCTTCTTTATCATCGTCATCGGTAATGTCGCTGTCGTCATGATTCATATTTTTTTTATCGTTCTCGTCGTCATCATAATTATCAATGTTGTTGTTGTTGATGATGATGTTGTTGTTGATGATGTTGTTGTTGTTGTTGATGTTGATGTTGTTGTTGACATTTTTGTGGTCCTTCTTGTCACTTCTGTCAATATTTTTTCTTTTTAAGACTGTCTGCTTTATCTCTCTCCTGAAATTTGCAAGCCACGGAGAAGAAGAAGATGCTGATAATGATGGTGATGACGACGACGACGATGATGACGACGAAGACGATGATGATGAAGATGACGAAGACAAAGGTAATGACCAATCAATACAATGAAATTTATGATCGCCAATAGTGATAGTGCTGTCCGTGATGATGACGATGATGACGTCACTTTCATCGTTCTCTTCTTGAAGAATATTTTTTTCAATTTGCTCATAATTCTCATCATCACCAACACCACCACCATTATTATTATTATTTTTGGCATCCACATTTTCAGCGTACTCATAACTGTTTCCTCTGGCTAGACTGCGCCAAACGCCCGACCAATGGGATGGCAGGTGGCATAATCGAGGCCGCTGATTGGTGCAGAGCTTGCAAGTTCGTGCACACATCAGCTGGTGGGAGGAGCCTGGGTGGCAGATGTCAGCTGATCTCTTGGAATGCAAAGTATTCGTTGTTTTTCTTTTTTGTGAGTGAAGTGAAGAAGATGATGACAAAAATAGTGATTTTGTTTCATTGACATGGTGACTGAGGGTTAGGGAAGAATTCATTTGCACAACATCCACGTCATTGAGATAATCAATGGCTTTGTAATCACCATGACCACCCCAACCACCATCACCATCATCATCATCATAATTTGGAACATCAGAAACATCCGGGTTCGTCTTCATCTTCGTGTTCATGCAGTGTTCGAACTCATCCACGCAGAGGGCTCCTATTGGTCGAACTGGTTCTCTCACCGCCCTCACCAAATACATTGGTGGTGCTGATGACGATGACGACGATGATGATGATGATGATGAAGAAGATGATGATGAGGAGGAGGAGGAAGATGATGATGAAGACGAAGATGATGATGATGATGAGGATGAAGATGATGATGTTGAGAAAGATGATGATGATGACGAGGCTGGTGATGATAACTTCGTAGGCGGACAGAGAAATGTGTAATTGGAGCAATTGGTTCCGAGAAAAGTTAGATATGCATTGAAATTGTCCTCGTCTTGTTGGAACCTTAAGGGAACCTTCATCAGCCAATAAAAATCTTTTAAGGCAAGCAACGTTGTTACCTCACTATCTCCCAACATTGTCGTCAAACATTTAAGAGAGATAGATCTTTTTTTGGAAGAGGAAAATGAGTATTTAGACTGGGCCAGTTCTTTGGGCAGGCAATTTGCGTTTCGATAGTAAAAGATAATGTTGTTGTTGTTGTAGTTGCTATAGTAGTTGTTGTTATTGTTGTTGCTGCTGCTAATGTCGTGGTTTTTGTGAGTGTTGAATTTGTTGTTCTTGATGATATTGTTGTTAAGTGGACACGAAGATTCAAACTTTATGTCGTTGTTGTACGTTGCTGTTGTAGTTTCTTCTGTTGCTGTGTTTATGAAATCGCACTCGTCTGAAACATTGTTAGGTTTTGTTTGGTCTTTTCCATGTTGTCGTTGATGTTGTTGTTGATGTTGTTGCTGCAGGTGGTGTAGTTGATGTTGTTGTTTATGTTGCTGTTGTTGGTGTTTATATTGTTGGTGTTGTGGATGTTGATGTTTGCAAGTAAGACACGTAAACCTAACACTAAATCCACCGCTGATAAAACATCTATTGCTGAAAACTTTTGCTTTACTGTTGTTGTTGTTTACAGCAATATTGTTACTGATAGTGTTTATATTGTTGTTATTGTTGTAGTTATTGTTGTTGTTTATGTAGTTGACAAAATATTTGTTGCTATTTATGTTGTTGTTATTGTTGTTGTTAAACAAATTGTTTCTAAAGTTGTTGTAGCCGACGAAATGGTTGTTGTGGAAGGTATTTTTAATGTCGTTGATGTAGTAATTTTCATCGCTCGTGGAGTATCTCTTGAACATTTTGATGTGTTGATGTCTTTTTGTCAACGCGCAGCTCTTCAACATGTCTCTCATTGATCGTTTATCGCTATTACTCTGAAAGGACTGCGTAGTTGATAACATTGTCGTTGTTGATGTTGTTGTTGTTGATGATGTTGTTGATAATGTTGTTATTGTTGATGCTGTTGATGTTGTTGTTGTATTTGTTATGTTTGTTATTGCCGATACTGCTACCAATTTTATTGTTGTTGTTGTTATTGTTAATGCTGCTGGCTTCGTTTTTGTTGTAATAATAGATGTTTTTGTCGTTTTAAATGAATACTTGTTCGCTATAAAAAATGCGGCAGATGTTGTTGATGTGATTGATGTTACATTGCAGAAGGAAGTGGCAATGAGATGGCATACCATCATTAACATCATCGTCGTCGTCATCACCATCGTCACCACTTCCTGTTCGTTTGTTCAGTTAATGTTTCATCACAGTAATGTCGTAATTAAAAGTTTCATTCATCCATCATACGATTAGAACTTATTTTTATTATTATTCTTTAAAAATCAGGGTTTGACAGACGCAGAAACTGTTACAGCATGCAAGGCATATATTTTATAACATACTGGCCTCTATATTCATCAATACAATCTGTTACTATATTCCAACGCATATCTCTGTATTCAAACATTTAGGCAACTGCAATTGCACCGTCAACTTTTTGCTTTACGTGTAGTATGTGTGATTGAAAATTTAAGCGTGTTTGCGTGTGTATATATGCAGAAATTTTTTTTCCAAATTTTGTTGAAAAATTTGAAAGACCGTTTAGAATTTGCAAAAACAATTGTAGATTGTTTGAATGATTAAAAAAACAAACAAAATGAATTTACAACTTAAGGTTTGTTATTCAAAGTTTAGAAAATTTGAAATTGTTATGGTATTACTTTCTTTGCAGCATTGAACCATGAACTCCGAAATCGTAAACGAGTTAACTACTTCGGAGTCCATGATTCAGTTTTGGCTCCTGGTATAAATACAAAATATTCATTCATTTATATATATATATATATATATATTATATATATATATATATATATTTATATATAGCCTTGTATGAATTCTACCAAATTGTTGGCATTTATCAATTTAAAGTTTGTCTTTTCAATTTGCCTTCCTAGAATTTTCTGAAAATTGTTCAATTTGTTGAAAATAAAATTATTTAAATTCATCATGAAAATTTAATGAAACTGCTGTTATCCGAATTCATCAAGCCGATAAGGTCTTATTTCGATTTTTCACAATTCATCTTTTCATTTCAGATTTTTACGAAATTTTACGTTTTTTGAAATATTTCCTCCAACTAGTGAGTAAGAAATTTTTTGCGTTTTATAGGTTAAACACAATTTGACACTAAACTCAACCCTTGCAATCTTCAGCCCAACAGCAGCAGATCAGTTGATCTATTTTGCTCTGCCTACAGAGATTCATAAAACGTTTCAAATATTTAGTTATTTACCACGTTGTAACAATTTCTGAGACACTGTCCTGCAATTTTCAAGTGTGTACTTTTTAAAAACTTCTACCCTTGTAAGACATCCCACCTCATCAATTAGCCAACATATCGTATTGACATCAGCATATCTTACTGAATTTTTTCAACTTTTAAAAGACAAAATGTGAGAATAAAATATAATGACTTACTTTTATTTTTAAATTTCAACTTATTGAAAATTTTGTTTCTTTCAAAGTGTAGCTCAAAAATCACAAAAAAATTAAAAATTGAAAGATTTTGAAAAAAATTCGATTTTGAAAGCTTGTGCAGTCTTCAATCAATCAACCAATTAAATCTGTATAGCCAAATTTTAAAAAATTCAACTGAACTCAATCTAAAGTTTGTAGAACCAACAATTATGAAAAAATACAAAAAATAGAATAAAATAAAACTAAATAGACCTGAAAGAAAAGAAAACAAAGATAAAAAAGAAAAAAGCATATTTGAATATTCAATGAAGAAAACTATCGAAAAGTTTGTTTAAAAATGCAGAATTTAGTCTGAATACGCTTTCAATTTTGTGAGCTATCCACGTTCAAAATGTCAAAACAGTGAAAAACTTCATTTTCTACGCTTTTTTTAGGACGTGTAGAAGATTATTTTTAAATTCGGTTTGAACGTGTCAAGTCCACATAGAATCATTCTATTCTCGTGTTTGCTTATGCTCTCGACTATATTATACTGTATTTATTTGCGTATTTATTTATTATATTTGAGAGAGAGTGTGTTTATTTATTTGCATGTACAATGGAGATATTTATGTCGGCAAGAGCGTGCTTATGATATTTTTGTGGAGGTTCGTATTTATTTCTGCAAAAACTTCTCTCATCCGAGCACCGCATGGGCATAATTAATGCCTCCTTCACTTTTTATGAGCTCTCCCTTACATACGCTTCAATAATTTTTTAACCAACGGCCTTCTTCTTGTCTCGCAAGTAATCGTCTGTTTGATATTTAAAGATGAAATTTTTAGAAATTAATTTGTAAATAAAGGAAGGCGTTTGAATGCGTGGGTGGCTGCATATTAATTAATGTGTACAGGTATGTGTACCGTTGTGTTGTTTGTGCATGCATCCAAACATCACTCCATATTCTGTGCGTCTGTGCATCAATGTTCAATAACACACGCTTGCAGGCCTATTAATATAAAGTTGTTTGTTTTGATGAACGCATCATGTACGTGTGTATGCAAATTTCGTGTACGCGTACTAAGAACGCGTGCATGCATGCATATTAAGTGCGTATGCACTGATTGATTGATAGTGCGTGCACGCGCGGTTGTGTTATTGATCTGCCAACAACATGAATGTATCGATCCCTGACTTTAACCTACAACATTACGAAATGGACCGATTGCCACATATCATCCAAGACAAAGGCGCATTCGTCTACATTAGACAGTCACACAACAAACACGCATGTGCTCATTGTACATGAGATACACACACAACAAACACGCATGTGCTCATTGTATATGAGATACACACACATACAGACACGCAACACGAACGCACATTTGAGTGGAAAATCACAAAAACGCGCGCATAAACAAATTCTCGCGCAAATATTAAGGCGTTATTCACTCATTCCAAACAGCGTCCACTGTATCTTCATTTTTATCATCATCATCATCAATCATCATCATCAACATCAATCAACATCATCATCATCAATCATCGTCAACAATCTATCACCATTTGAATTGTCATCACCAAAAGCGTTATTGTAATCTTCATCATTCGCCACTTTTCCATCAACATCAACATCATCATTAACAACATCGTCATCATCATCATCAACATCATCAACAACATCAACAACAACATCATCAGCGCCATTAATTATATTTGCGTCATCATCCGAATCATCATTTTGTCCTTAACATCACCCGCTTTCAAATCTTTTTCTTCATGAATTCTTTTTTCACCTTTTCAAGAATTTTTTTCTATATTGACATAACCACCACCATCTTCACGATCACCATACTCATCATCGTCATCATCTCAA